AGTCTAATTATAGTATTTTATTAAATAAGAAGAAAATAATTATTTATTTATTTTTTTGAATATTTTTCCATTTAAAAGTGAAGTGGAGCCCATTTGTTAGGTGATTTAAGATTTAAGCATAATTAGCTTTAATTAAGTACATTCAACTGCCTAAGTAATTGACAATTCTAATTTCTGCCGTTACACAACTAACACAAAGTAATATAGAAAATGACTTTGTTATTAATTGTTAATAATAAAATTAAAGTACTCTATTTGAAAAGAAAAAAAATGTTATTAGATCCAATGTTGCTATAGATTTTAACGGTATCTATAAAAAGTGCTAAAATGTAGTACTTGCTGCTAAGCTACTCCCCTCCGTCCAACAGTAGTTGTCCACTATATTATTTTGAAATGTCCAACAATACTTGTCTATTTTATGAAATTAAGATAATTTTACATTTTCTAATTTACTCTTACCATTAATTATAGTCATTTCCATGTTACACTTTTCAAGACATTATACTCCCTCCATTTCATATTAATTGAATTGTTGAGACATTTTTCATTTTCAAATTAACTTAATTGTTCAATTTTCAAGACTACTTTTAGAATATTTTTCCAATTTTTACCCTTCATTAGTTAGTATTGGAATTAGTTATTAATTAATATTTAGTTATTTTAATCATAATTTTGATAATAATTAATAAGGGTAAAAAATGAAAAGTTAAGCCTAATTTATGTCTTAATCTTCTTTTCTTAAAAGGGTGTGAAACACCTCAACAATTCAATTAATATGAAATTGAGTGATTATTTATTATATTCAAAGGGTGATATAGTAAAATTACTCTTATGTTTATAATTTCTTAAAAAGTGTGCAAAGTCAATATTGGACAAATATTAATAGATAGAGGAAAAAATATCGTTAATTAATTACTGCTAAATATCATTTTTGATGTATTGCTTCTCGAACGTTAAATGACTATTTTGTTATCTCTTCAATTCATATATAGTTTTGAGTCTACAGAAAAGTAATTAGTTTAACGAAAAATAATTTATAATGCAACCTGTTAGTCACGAGTATTGTCAGTTTAATATTTTTTTTACGGAAAAGTTGTACTGGATGTTTTAACCAATACGAACTTATTTGACTAATTGTCTTCTTTATATTTGCTAATTAAATATTACATATTCTCATATTAATGTTGAACAATTAAAATTAAACTTCATTGATTTGGTAAATATTTAACTATAAGTGGTACAACTAAGCTACAGAGCTTAACCATAATTGCTTAGCTTATTTTTAGTAAAAATAAAAATCCTCATAAAGAGAAACAGTTGTCAATAATAAATTTTATGGTCCAACTTTTAATTTCTTTCCAATTACGATTTCATTAATTTGACATTTCTGGAATATTAATTTTGTTAACTCTTGTTTATTTTAATTAGGATAATTAATTCGGGCTCAAATAAATTTATACATGCTGATTGAACTAATTAAGAGGTTGTTGGATGACTTGTCAATATGTTGAAAAGTCATATCCTTTCTAAAATATAAGTACGTATAATAAATAATAAGTAACATATTCTTTTAATTTGTATATTGTTTATATTATACTAGTTTGAGCGGCAAATAAATTGCATTCATGAATAATATGATACTTTATAATTTAAGGGTATAAAGATATCATTCACTTTTGATTTTTGAAAAATAATAATAAAAAGTATGTACTATATAAAATGTGATAGCGAGAAAAAGATATTTAGTAGTTAATATAAAGGTACATGCAAAATAATATTTAGGATAAACACTTTCCTCTTTCTTTTCTATTAGCTCAAAATATTTTTTACTTTTTTCAAAATATTATTTTGGAAAAAATTTCGGACATAGGTTTATTACAATTTTTTGAAATTCATGTCCATACAAAACTTGATTAAAATTATTTTTAATTAAAAAATAATAATTTAAATTTCACATTTTTTATGTCTAAATGACCTCAAATTACTTCCTATATTCCTATGCAATAATGGCGATGGACTACTTGGGATCAGTAGAATTCGAAAACTACAAAACCAATTGATTTCATATTGAGAACAAGATTCATAGCAAAGACCACAATAATTTGAAAGATATCTTGAGAAAAGATTTTAGCATAATTATATCTTATATGTACCCAAGTTTATTTGAAATATTCTAATAGTGTAACACCATCAACTTTTTGATAAAAAGAGGAATATGACTTTATTTTCTTGTTTCAGGCTCACGGAAAATGAAAAGAAATATATTATATTTGATCTCTAAGTCCGTATATAATATCATGAGAGGGTCATCACTGATAGAAATGACATAATGTTAATTCATATCCAAATGATCAAGGAAACATCAATATGTACATTCACTATGATTTGGTCATTTGACAAAACAATTTATTCTATCAAAATAGTAAAACTGAATGCAATAAAGAATCAAACACGTGTTTTCTTTTAATCACTCTATCAAGACATACACTCATAAAGGGTCTCAAGATTCTCAATTTCATTTTTTTAGTGTATAGAAATAATGCGAGAATGGAGAAAGATCAAGCTTAGTCACTAGTAGAGCAAGTCTTTTCCACATGTTAAGTTGAATATGAATAAACGAATGCAACCTTAACTAGAGAGATCAACCTACGCCTTTGAGTTGAGGCTGCTGGCGACACAAATTAACTAATTCATGATCAACATTTTTTTTTCAAAAACAAAATGAATACGACACTTTTCTCAAAAGTATCAGAGAAAGTATTTTCTAGTTAGATTTCATCAATAAAATGAAAGTACCATTTTTTTTCTTTTTTCTGTCAACTAGAAGAAAAATTAAATCCCAAAGAGTCCTTCTTTATTTTACTATTTTAGAGGGTGAAGATGAAGAGGAAGAAGGGAAGGAGAGAGGGTTACATAGAACGACAAAGTGATTTTTGATTGAATCTCAAATACATTCTCATTATTTGGTAGATACAACTCCATGACTTATTTCAGATTCACTATGAGCTTTGGTAACAACTGTAGGAGATGTGATGTTTATACACTCATTTCAAGGGGGGCAACACTTCTTAGGTTAGGCCTCACATTTCTCCTATATACCATGTTCGTATGGTGACGTGATGTTCTACATGAATCCACATTTAAAGAATATCATATCAAAGTCATACAATTTGGACCTTGATATAGTTCAATTTTGTTTATCGTATCAAAAGTAATGTTCTTTTTGCTTTTTTTTGGGGGGGGGGGGGGGGGGGGGTTCTCATTTTTTTTTAGACCTA